CAATAGTTTATTATTTCCGATACAAAGTTTTTTCTTGCTAGCTTTCAAATATTATATGAGTGCAATCAATTAATACATATAGTATATGTATGTATATAGATTCTGATATTGCATTATTCCAAGGTTTTTTTATTTACTCCGTGAGATCGCATATATTTAATAAATCTAAAAACCTGAACATTTTATTAGTTGATAGTCACGTATATGCATTTATAGAGAAAACTTAATATAGTTGGGCTGAAAAAATTGTGTGCAATTACAGAATAAAGAACGTGCATTTACCTATAGGTCCCATTGCAGGCCCAAGCATTTATCATGCATTTAAGAAGGTTGTGTATTTAGGAGGGTTGCATTTAAAGGGTCTAACTGTAGTATGAATTGATGCAATTAAATTAATTTATTATTTATTAAATCACCATTGGTGTTGAATACCAGTGGTATTAGTAAAAGTTTATTTGTTTTTAATACAATATAAATTGATGCTATTAAATTAATTTATTATTTATTAAATTACCACTAGTGTTGAACACCAGTGGTGTTAGTAAAAGTTTTTTTTTTAATAACAAAATTTTTTTTTACAACTTATAATTTGATTTTCTTTTCTCTTCACAGTTGATTATACCCTATTCTTTGTCATATTTGAACTTGGTAATGCAGAAAATATTTATAGTTCTAGTAATACAGAAAATTTTTTTGATCCTGAATCTGGTAACATGAGTATATATATATTTTTTCTTGTATTTAACTTTGGAGTTTTAAAAGTAAATCGCAATCTAATTTTGTTTTCCTTTAGTAGTTAATCGCTTGATATCATGTTTGAAGCTAGTAATACAGAAAATATTTACAAATCTGGCAATATAGAGAATTTTCTTAATGCTGAATCTGGTACTATAGATAATTGTTTTAGTGTATATGACTCTGGTAATCTGAAAATTTTATATAATGCATTTAGTTTTAGCAATCAAAAAACTTTTTTAACATGTTTGGGCCTGGTAACATAGAGAATTTTTTAATACATTGTTCAAGCTCTAAGATGAATAATAATCTATTTAAATAATTCTTGATTTTAGCATTATAAGATTCCACACACTGTATGCTTTGCATACTAGCATTAAATGTACGGTATGTAAAGCATAGTACCCAAGCTTCTCTGCAATGATAAAGCTGATACTGCAAATAATTTGTAGTATCAGCATATTTATATAAAAATATAGCACATCTTTCCTCAAAAATTGACTCCACATAACTATTGTATATATAGCAAAAATCTGCAAAAAAATTCACCCCATTTTTTACGATATTTACCAAAAAAATACTTTTTTAAATTTTTTCAAATATGGAATAAACAGAAATGGTGTTTTGTTATTGATAAGAAATTGTTAGTAGCCACAATTATTGCAGAGTCAGCTCTGTATAGAGCAAATATAGAGCAAGATTACTAGTTGCCTTAAGAATACTTGTAAATAACTATTCATAAGTTTCTTTAGTTTTATCAGAAACAATAGCAGCAGCTACAAGACAGGAACGGTTATTATTATTCAAAATTATTATAATATACAATATTATTTTTTTTGCAGTTGGTTTTTGCAGTTAAATCTAGAAGAACAATATCGTAAAATCGAGCCTACAGCCGCTGCTAATCTGGGCTCATACATCAAAGTCTTGTAAGATGATTGTTCTTGTCTTTGAATTAAGCATCAATATGAAAAGTGGAATCCATCTGCTGTTTTTTCACAAGCTCAAGGTATAATAAACCAGCATTACTTATTTCTCCTTTTTTGCACCAGATTGATTGAATCAAATTATACATATTACAATCATAAACATAT